TTTAACTACCCTTCTATTTTACCTAAACTATATAAGCCTCTCTTTTATTTTGAAAGTGTATATAAACCTCCCTTAAAATTAAAATACATGTTACACAAACCTTCCTTGCATATTTGATATTTCATTTCTATTCGTCTAACTGTTAATTGATCGTTAAGTTTGATTTTTAAACTTCTATTTTGATCAAAATATCCCTCCTTGATATAAAAGTTATTTAAATATTTATATTTGTCAAAAAATAATTTTATATATAATAAAAAATAATTTTAATACATGTATTTTAAAATTTTTAATATATAATAAAATTTATTAATTTTGATTATATAATAAAATTTATTAATTTTGATTATATTATAAAATTTTATAATTTTAATTTTTCACTGCATAATGAAATGTATTTATTTAGATATCTTTTAAATGGGTAGAAAATATATTAAATAAATATTTTTTATTGTATAATATAAATTGTCTAAGTTTGAGAGACTATAAAAAATTTTTAAATTTATAATTTAAAATTTTGAAATAAAAATGTGGTTAGAAACGTTTATAACATATTTAATGTATTATATATTTATTTAAAGAATTAATCAAATTTTCATTCAAGGTTTTTATGTATTCATTAAATAAATTAATTAGTTTTCTATCCCAATATGATAAAAACATAACTATTTGTAAAAATAAAAAATAAAATTAAGGAAATTTATTTTAAATTTGTCAAAACTTTTTGGTCAAAATTTAGGGATTTAGCGTTATGAAGTGTAAATTTAGGGAGTAGTAAATAAAAAGTATCTTAATATAAATTTTAATTCAAGATGCATCTTTTTAGAGTCTTTTTAATGAAGTTAACAATTTGAAGCTAAGTGTATATTTTCAAAATAAAAGAGAGATTAGTGTAATTATAGTACTTATCTAGTTCTATTTATAGGGCAAAGAGAAAATATATTTTTTAGTTCTATTTATAGGATATTGAGAGAAATTTTTTATATAAATGTTTAATTTTACCTTTAATTTATTATTATGCTGACTTTGCTTACACGAGGGATAATATATATTAAATAGGGATAAAATTGAAAATTTGTTGAATTTTAAGTGAGAGTTAATCAAGTTTAAAATTTTTCTTGGTATATATAAAATGTGTTAGAAGTTACTTACCATAAACAGGACCAGGAGAGGAAAATGCAAGGAAGGTTCTCGTGCGTTCAATAAGCGAAAAGGTTCTCGAAGTGGCATGGTTGTTTGCCCTGGTGGTTCTCGTGCGTTCAATAAGCGAAAAGGTTCAGGCCAGAAAATAATAATAATAATAAGCGAAGAGATTAAAGATAAAATTGCTGACTGAAGGGATGAGGTGATAAGATGACGTAAGAGAATTGAAGATGCCTATTATTAGTCTCCCAACTTATTTCAACCTACTTTCCTAATTTAATTTTAAATATAATATTTTAATTTAAAAAAATAATTAAATATCTTAGAAATTGATAAAGGGCAAATCAGTATAGGTGAATTTTAAAATATCAATTCAGACTCCTTGTACCATTTTAGAATTTTCAAATTTTATAAAATCACATAAATGCCTTTACTATTTTTTTTCTTTCTTTTTCTTTTAAAAATATAGCCATCTCAGTACCCTTAGCTGGTTTACGGTTGCTGGAGCTTTGACACTAGGGGCCCTACTGGTGACCAGCTATCGTAGCTTTTGTGACATGTTACCGAAACTCTCGTAACCCATCACTGAAGCTCCGGTGACTACTTTTTCCTATGTATTGATTACTCTATTTTAGCTATTAACTACATTTGTTTTTAAAATTCTAATGACTATTCTTATTTAGCTATTTACTATTCTAGTATTGCGATTGACAATTTTTCTTTTTAAAATTTTGGCGACTACTTTTATTTAGCTATTTACTACTTTAGTTTCTCTATTGACTAGTTTTTTTAAAAATTCAAATAATGCATTAAGTGTTGCTGGAGATCTAATAACTATTTTTTGTTTAGTTATTTACTACTCTTTTATAGTCAATGGCTATATAAAAGTAGTTATCAAAACTTTAAAAACAAAAACAATCAATAGTCAAACTAGAATAGTTAATAATTATATAAAAGTAATCATTGAGAATAAGGACATTGTTGTCATTTCATAGTATTTTAAAATTTCAAAATAGTACAAAGAAACTGATTTGAGATTTTAAAATTCACCCACCCTAAGTTGTCCTTTAGCATTTTTTAGGGTATTTTAATGTCTTTTAATTTATTCTATTTTTTATATTTACTTATTTTTTTAAAGTAGTCCTTATTGTAATTACATATGTTAAAAAGTTTTTATTTTAATGCATATGATTAAGAAGAATATTTGAAAAAAGACAGTACCCATTTATTACAAATAATAAAATTAACTAATTTTTTAATATCCACAAATTAGCAATGCAATCCTCATATTAAGTGACGGGAGGAAGGATTTAATTTGCGGATCAAACATTGGGTGCATTAACTTTTCAAGTCAACCTATGGATATATAACATAAAATTTGTAGTAATACATTATTATTCATAATAATTAGGGGATGCCAACATAATAATTATTTGGATAATCTGTTTCGTTAATTGTTCTAAAAAAAATAAATTTGAGAATAAACCTATTGAGATCGGAGAGTGAAACTTCGATGATAACTTACGTTCTTAAATAGGGAAATAGTCGTTGAGAAGAGAAGAATATGTAGAATTTGAAACTGATCTAGTTTTACTCATATTTTAAATCTTTCAGTTGTGAAAACTTATTTATTTCGTGATTTTTTACAAATTTAAATAGGTGAGTTGAGTAAAATAATATTTCAAACGCATATGTGCAAAATAATTAATCAAACAGGACTTTATTATAGTGAAAGATAAATTAGTCATTATAACATATGCATGTTTATTGTATAGAAAAAAATATACGTGCATGTTTATTTTTCTATAAACTTTATACATTTTCATACAATATTTTTAAATTATTTATGTAAATAATACCATGCTTAATTAGTCCAAGTTCTTCAAATTTTGGGGGGGGGGAGATAACTAGATTATAAAGACAAATTAATAATTTTAAAAATTTCAATTTAATGACAAATAAAGACGTTAATTCAATTTCTTCTATTGGAGATTTTGTTTTCCGCTGCCCTCTTTAAATGTATTCATCAGGAAGTGATGAGAAAATTTTCTTGGTTAGAAAATAATTATGAAGTTGACATTTAATAATAAAAGGATGTAAATAATACAAGAGTTACGTTGTATACATTTTTTCCCCAGAAAAGGATTTAAAAGATTTATATTATATTCTGACCAATATTTTGATAGGTAGTGTTTTGCATGTGTAGTGATAGAATTTGCTCTAAAAAACTGATAAACACTGATTCATTGAAGTCTTCTTGTTGTTACAGTGAACAAAAATTCTATCTCTTTTAGACTGCGAAATTCACTTCGTCCTCCTCTCTGGGGAAATCCTATTATTTCTTCTCTACAACAACGGTTTCTTCAATCAAGTTTAGCAAAAATTAGTAAATTACAGATCAGAACGGAGAGAATGATAACGTTTTATATCCTAATGTGTGGGTCTCATTCAATATTCCCAATGGTTTTACGCCAGAGGTATTGATCTTCAATCTCTTACAAGTTACAATATTTTGGCAATATCGTACGGATGTTCAAGTCGAACAATTTAGCAAGGGTAACAGCTGGGCAACATTATTACAACTTGGAAACTTTCAGATACCTAACGTTGATGAGTAAAAATTTTCAGGACAAATTTATACCTTAACTTAGAAAAGAAAATGACATGGATGACACATAGATCTACCAATTCGGCAGGTTTGGCCAACTAACGGTTAAACTTACCCTAGATAATAGCCAATGTGACATTGCAATATTTGGAAACTTCCAGGATGACATAGAGCCAAAAAAATTCCGGATACCCAGCACTCCCAAGCAAAAACTTTCAGGGTAAATTTGTATTTTAACTCATTTTCGTGGGGAATTCAATTAAATGTTGTGGGAGCCACTTGCTGAGACACAGCGCCGCGCCTCCCATCTATATATTTACTCTTAACACAGAGCCAGCAGATCTACTTTCATTCTCCCGCTGTTTCTTGACTAACAAGTTTAGATGGCGGAAGTAAGATTCTGAAACAAAAGACTCGGAGGTCGTGATGAGTCCTCCACAAACCGTATGCATCCTGTTCAATTTCTTTTTGTTTACTATTTTTAAGGTTGCTTCGATCTGTTTCATTCCTCAGTTATTACAATATTTTTAGCCTTAATTTGTTTAGATTGAGCCACATCTCATGGAGGACTTTTCGACTGCTGCACCACTAATGAGTAGTGCTCCACAAACGGTATATGCATCCTTTACCCTTGTTTTCAATTTCTTTTTGCTTACTATTTTTAAGATTGCTTGTTTCATTCCTCAATTATTACACTCTTTTAACCTTGTTTTGTTTAGATTCAGGGTTGTGCTCCACAAATGATTGCTCAAGATTCTGACATTCACCTGGCGATTTCTTCTGTGAGTGCTCAACAAACCCTATGCTTCCTTTACCACTCTTCAGTTTCTTTTTCCTTATTTTTAAGGTTGCTTCTGTTTCATTCCTCAATTATTACACTCTTTCTGCCTTATTTTGTTTAGATTGACACTAGTACTCCACAAATGAGTGCTTCACGACTGGTGATAACTGAAGACATCGAAAAACTTATTCAAGATTGTGGAGATGGTCATATGTCACCACACTGCTGTATCTACAGGGTGCCTATTAAGCTCCGTGATCTTAAAAAAGATGCTTACACCCCTTTCATTATCGCAGTGAGGGGCTGCAAGACATGAAAAGGCAAAAACATATATTGTTCAAAAGATTTATTCAAAGAACCAACTCAAGTTGTTGCGAATTGGTTGAATTTGTACAAAAGTTAGAGCCACAAGTCCGTGCTTCTTATTCAGAAACCATTACTGAAGAAGAACTTGTGGAACTGACATTAATGGATGCTGTCTTCATCATTGAACTCTTCATCATGTCCCATTTGGGTGAGGTACGCAACGATGCTAAATTGTCACAGCCATGGTTAGCGGATTCTATACTTCTAGATCTACTTTTACTTGAGAATCAACTTCCATTCTTTGTTATGGAAAAGCTGTTCAATGAAGCTTTGCCCCATGATCGTCGTGGTAGCCTCCCTTCATTTCTTCAGCTCACTCATAACTATTTTGGGTATCACAATGGACAAGAATTAGACCCTCATTCTACTGTTGATATAAAGCATTTTACGGATCTCCTTAGATTGTTTTACAAGAAAAGAAAGACGCCTGAAAGGAAGCCAAGCCCAGAGGGTAAGGATGAATGGATGCGAGTCCCAAAGGATGGAAGCCATATTCTTTTACACAATGCGAATGCACTGGAAGAAGCAGGCGTAACGTTGAAGGATTGTGAGAGCGAATACTTATTGGACGTGAAATTTTCAGGAGAAATTCTTGAAATTCCCCATGTTGTGGTGGATGATAATACTGAACTTTTGTTTCGTAACATGATAGCATTAGAACAATGTCATTATTCTAGAAATGCTTACATTACTGATTATGCTCTTTTGTTGGATTGGCTAATAAACACAGAAAAGGATGTGGATCTCCTCGTTCGCAAGAAAATAGTTAGGAACTATTTAGGTGATACGAAAAAGGTTGCCACATTATTTAATGGTCTTTCAGACAATGTCGTCCATTCAACCATCAGTACTCACTATTTCAAGACTTGCAAAGATTTGAATAGGTATTGTAAAAGTCGTTGGCACCAGTGGAAGGCAAACCTGAGACGTGATTATTGTCATACACCTTGGCAAATTGCTGCTTCTGTTGCTGCATTTCTGCTCCTCGTTCTCGCATTGGCTCAAACCGTATTTTCGATCCTCCAGGTAGTTCTGTAAATTTACAGCTTCGTGTAATGCTGGATTTTGATTGCTGTGTCCTGTACCTTTCTTATGAGTTTTGTTATGACTGGGCAATGTACTCGTGATTTGGGAAGCATTTTCTTGGACCAGGCTTTGAATAATGGAAATTGCACCTTGTAGCCGTGGAAATGTAGTTCTCTTCCTTGTTTCATGTTTTGTTTAAATATTGTCCACTAAAGTGTATAAGAAATTATTACATACACACATCCTCTTCTATATTCTTTCAGTTCTCTTGTAGCCATCGAATTAATCCGATCGGTGATCCACATGGGTGTGCAGTGGCAGATGGTCGCCGACAAATTGTTGGACCCAATCTTTAGATGTAGCCCAAATAGTCTCATAATTCATATGGATTACTTGCTCTCTCAAGTGTGGATATCAAGAAAAATGAATGCAGTGCAAGTGAGACGTGGTGAGTGAACCAGAAAAAGGCTATTTACGCGTCTATTTTGTGCAGCATAAAAGGAGGCGTAAAAAGCATCTTGTTTACAAAGAGAGAGAGCATTTTGACTAAATTGAATTTATGATATTCAATTGTATGTAACAGATTAGACCCAAAAGAAATTTTCATTTCTATCTTATCTTTTTCCTCTCCAAAAGGGTATTTTGGGCATTGAAAATTGCGATCCTCAGCTCAGCCAACCTAACGGTTTCAACGGAGGAAACAGCAAACCCCCTCCGGGTCCCTAGGCTAGGCTAGGCATGAGCGAAACCAAACGAAGCCTTGAGATAACTCAATGTATTATTGAGTGCTTTTAGTATTTCAAAATTCTAAATGGATAATCCTTCACTCTTTTTTATTTAAAAAAAAAACCCATAACTAATTCTTACTGATAAAAAAAATACCTTAAGTTAATTGGATTAATAAATATGTTAAAAATAAAAAATTTCAACAAAATACTCTAATTCAATAATTAGTTGCTTGCTTTTAATAATTGATCTCAAATTTTGTCTTTGATTTTTAATATAAAAGCTAGATAATTAAATTGTTGATATTAAAAAAATTAGTTAAATTAATTATTGTAGGAAATTAGTTGAGTTTTCTGCTATGTGTACTTAATAGGGGTATTTGAAAAAACTTTTATATTTTGCAGAATGAATAAAATATTATATTTAAGATTAAAATAATTCATTTTCCAGCTCCTACATTGACGGGGAAGTATGTTTTTTTTAATACTCCAAATAAAAAGTCATGGGTAATGGAGAGAAATGGATTGCATGGGCAGTGGAATGTGTCTCTTCAGCAAACCTGAGTGTAATGGTTGCAGGCAAAAAAGTTTTAGATCTTAGCATGGAGAGAGGAATTAGATAGGGAGATCCTTTGTCTCCCTACCTATTCATTTTGGCAACAGAAGTGCTCTCTTTGATGACTCAGTGGTTTGTCAATAGAGGAAGGTTGAAAGGCATCAAACTAGCTAAAACTTTCCCCACATTATCTCATTGTTTCTTTGCTGATGATGCGTTATTTTTCATCAATGCAGATAAAAGGAACTGTGAGTTGCTAAAGAGCATACTGAATTGCTACTGTGATGCTTCCGGTCAATCTGTCAATTTTGATAAATCCTGTATTTTCTTCTCAAAAAATGCCAGTGCAGACCAAAAATGGGATGTGTATGAGGTATTGGGGATTGAGGCAAGTGATAATCAGGGGAAGTACCTTGGCATGCCAATGCTTTGGGGAAGGTCAAAGTGTGAAGCCTTATCTTTTGTTAGATGTAAGATGGGTCTAAAACTTCAAGGGTGGAAGTAGAAACTTCTCACTTTTGGGGGAAGGGAGGTCTTGATCAAAGTAGTGGCAAATGCAATCCTAGTCTTCCCTATGTCCTATTTTAAATTTCCAAAGAAGACTTGCGTTGAATTGGATGCCATGGTGTCCAACTTCTGGTGGGGACAGAAAAACTAGGAGGGCAGGGTGCATTGGAAATCTTGGGATTGGTTAAGTAAGGCAAAAGGAGAAGGTGGTATGGGTTTTCGTGAGTTGGAAGCCTTCAATATTGCATTGTTGGCAAAATCTGCATGGAGACTAATTCAGAATCCTGATGATCATTGGGTAAGGATTATGAAAAGTTTGTATTTTCCTAAAAATAGTTTCTTGCAGGCAAAAAAAGGAAGCAGGGCTTTATGGGAGTGGTCCAGCATTTTGGAGGCCCGAGACCTTTTAGTAAATGACTTGTGTTGGAGGTTGGAAGAGGGGAGAATATCAAGATTTTTTAAGATAAATGGCTTCCTGAGATGGTTGATTTAAATTTGAATGATAGAAGTTTAAATAAGGAAATGAAGAACCTGAGAGTTTGTAACATAATAAGGAATGGTGAATGGTGGTTCAAAGGGGCAGGGAATTTTTTATCTGAAGAAGACAAGTCTTGTATTAAAAAAGTCAGAATCCCTCTGATAGATATAAGGGACAAATTGATCTAGTTAAAGAATAGGAATGGTGATTATGCTATTAAGATCGGTTATAAGGTTGCTTTACAGAAGAAAATGGTGAAGAATGTAGATAAGCCTGGTAATTCCTATTTCCCTTCAAAGAATTTATGGAGTAGAATCTGGAACATTAAAATGTCCCTTAAAGTCCTTCGTTTTATTTGGAGAGCTGTTAGTGGTGCTGTAGCAACTAAGGAAGCTCTTTTTAGAAAATGTGTTGCTGATCCTATTTCTCCTGTTTATAAGTATGATATTGAGACTATTGAGCATCTGCTGTTTCTTTGTCCTTGGACAAAGTGTTGTTGGTATGACCCCCCATTGGCTTTAAGATTTGACAGAATTGGCAATTTTAGAATTGACAAGTGGTTGGAAAACTGGCTAGTTAACTCGGATGCTATCATTGAATAGGATGTGGCTTTGTTTGCTGGTATATGTTGGGGCATTTGGAAAGGTAGGTGTAACTATGTCTTTGAAGGGCATGAAATGGATGCTTGCAGCTGTGTGGCAGCTGCAATGAGGCTTGTTAGAGAATTTGAAGAAGCTACTACAAGAAAGGCAAGGAGAGAGCCTTCTAGTATGAAGGTTGAAATAAGTCAATCTTGGAGAAAGCCAGCTGAAGGGGTAGTAAAAGTTAATATTGATGCTGGTTTTAAGAGTAGTTTAAAACTTGTTGCAGTAGGTGTTGTATGTAGAAAGAATTCTGATTGTTTTGTAGGAGGTCTGGGGAAGAAAGTTTCAGCTGCGTCTCCCTTCATGGCAGAAAGTTTGGCTCTTCTATTAGCTCTTGAAGTTGTCTCAAGGAAGGACTGGAGGAAGGTAGTTTTTAAGACAGATTATAGGGAGCTGTGTAGTTTGTTGAGCAGAAAGGATCATATAGGAGGAGAATGGAATTGTGCAAACATCCTTCATAAGTGTTGGGATTACTTGTCTCAAAGTTGCAATTGAGAGTTGGCTTTGGTAAATAGGAAGGGTAACCAGTGCACAATTGAGGCAATGAGGTGTATGGTACCTGTGGGATGGCTTTCTAAGCCACCATCCTCTCTAGTTGCTGTCTTACTCCTTGATGTACAGATGGCTCATGTTGGCTCAGCTTCGGATGTTGGTGATAGGACTGGTATAGGCTAGTTGCTTTCTCTGTTGCTTTTTGTTTTGTTCTGTTTCTTTCCTTTCTGTTTGTAGTTGGCTTGTTTCGGTAAGTTGGTGTGTTAGGTTGTATCTCTAGGTTTATTTCTGAGTGTTTTTTTCTCTTTTGGGCCTCAAGTGGCTATTGGTGTTTGTACTTTTTTTATGGTATTAATAAAACTTATCTATTTTGCTAAAAAATAAAAATAAAAAGTCATTATTTTTCATAAAAAACCGGGAAGAAATATAACAACTACAATTAAAATATATAAATATAATTTGGAGAGGCCTGAACAATAATTGGGAAAAGGGTCTCTCCACTCCTTCTTTTCCCTTATTTCTATTCACTTCTCATGTTAATCGTTAATATTGGTATTTAAACGTAACATTTTTCTTTTCATAATTTTATAAAATACTCCTCTAGTCATTAATATAGGACCTAATTGTTAAGTTAGTTTTGATCTTAAATATAAGACATATTTCTCATTTTTGTCAGTTTTTCCTAAATTACCCTCAGATACTCTCTTTACCATAATAAAGTAGGTGAGAGAGGGAGGATATTAAGAAAGATGATTATGGAATTTTAGAAAAAACATGTCATATTTCTTATAATTAACTAACTTACCTAACTTTCTTAATCTAATCAAATTAGTTAAATAGATCTTATATTAAGGACCAGAGGAGTATCAAACATAAACCATTTAAAATACAATTTAATGATTGAGATGGGAAGTGAAGAAAATAGAGAGGATGGAAAGTGGAGAGGCCCTTCTCCCACAATAATTACATTTTGAAAGAAAATCTTGCAAACCAACCCAGAATCCAAATCCAAACCTGCATCAAATGTCCTAACAAGCATGATTACTTTCTCTGAAACAAAAACAGAATGATAGTTTTTTCCCTTTAAAAAGAAGGAAAAAAACAATGCTAGAGAAAAAAACCTAAAGGTACAAAATAGACAAAAAGACCCAGAATCAGAAGCATAAGATAGCAGCTAGCCACCAGTTGGGTTGCGCTGGACACAATTATCAGGAGGGAGTGTCCGAGTCTGATATCATCTTTCTCATCTTCCAAGCTAGTGACGGCAACGTTAGCCCCTCCCCATAATCAATATCGTGCTGTGTAAAAGAACATGATCTTGTACTTCACCGATGTTGTAAAATTCACCCAGAACTATGCTTTCCCGTCCATTTTCACCATCCTGTTAAGTGCTCCGGCATGTGTTTCAATAAAGCTCCACTTCTTCTCATTCTTGTTGCGCCCTTGGTAGAAGCCTGCAATGGTAGAGCTCCCAATCGAACCGGTACTATTTTGATCAAGAAATATATCGATGATGAAGTTGACATTGTCATATCAAATCCCAGATTCCTTGTTTCCATTATCATAGTCGACCATGAAGATTATGGTAGAGTTGGTAGTTGTATTTGAGG